CTTAACGTTATTATTTTTAATAATATAGGGCATATTTATGATTACGCGTATAATAATTAGATTTTGCTAAAAAAAAATAGATATGTCCAAGTATGATATTTAAATATTTTGATTTTGATTTAATATTATAAAACCTTAATTTATATAAGCAATTAAATGATTCACAATATTTATGTTGTCGGAAATAAATTTCTCCCTTAATGCAATGTACAATTGGATTTTTTCTTTTTAAATCAATAGCTTCATCTAAATATGAATGCGCATTTTTGTAATTATTAAGACACCTATAAACATATGCTAAAATGCATCTTATCGTTATAGTATAACTTTTAGGAAATTTTTTTAGATACTCTTGACAGCTTAGAATAGCTTTATTATAATTTTTATCTGCTAATTCATTTATAATATTTTTATAAGCTAGACGTTGCTTTTTAAAATTTGTTATTTGAAATATTGATTGTAATCTATTCGAGATAATTTTAATTTCATTAGAAAATTTCTTTTTTTTAGTTAAAATATGATCAGCTTCCGAATTGTCAGAATCACTTTCATATATTTTACGATTAAAATCTTCTAACTCAATTGAAGGTAAAATATATCCTCCGTTGAGAAGATGTGAATATAAATTTTTATAAATAGCATTTTGTGATAAATATTTAATATTATTTTCTTCAATTATCTCTCTACATTTAGGACAAATTTTTTGCCTTAATTTGTTTAAATTATTTAATGAAAGAACGTGTTGACATTTCAAGATACATAATTGTTCCTCTGGTTCATTACTAATCGGACAAGCCATTTCATCTGCAATAACGTCTAAAATATTGAAAGAAATTATTATTTTTTCTTTCCTATTTTGATCTACACCTTTTCCTTTTCCTTTTCCATTTTCGATCTCATCAATTAGTAAATTGAAATTCATGAGACATTTTTTCTTTAGCAAATGATAATAAGCTTTGAAAGTTTTCTGAAGCATCTGGTTCTAACTTTTGAATATATTGATCAAAATCAAGGTCTACTATCATTGGAAATGATTCGTTATTGATTGTTTGTAAGTGTAATACTATTTCGACTGCTTTATATTGAATAAAACTGTTTGGCGCTCTAGTTAGTGATTCATTTGCCAAATAATAACAAAGTCCATATATAACTGTTTGGGTAGATCTCAGTACAAGATTTTGTGCAAGATCTAATATTCCAAACCATAACGTATTTGGTAATGTAAGAGGCTCGTTTCCGACAAGATCATTTATGAAACTTCCAGAATTTTTTAATATCATGACAAGTTTATTTGAAACTTCATCAAACTTTGTTTGTGAATCTAGCATGGATTTATCAGCAACATTATTCCATTCTATCTCTGAGTAACCCCAAAGGTATTCAATCAAGATTCTTTCTCCAAATTTTTTACTAATTATATTTTCTTTATCCTCCATCCATCTAAACAAATTGTTTTGGATTATTAACATAATTCTCCAATCCACGTAATAAGACGCCACCGGGATATTTAAAACTCAGGCCTTGACGCAATTGAGTAAGCGAATTTAATATCGTACTATTGTCATTTGGAATGGGCGCCACATTCGATAAAATTCCCGGTGTAATATTTAAAGCGGACTTTAACAAATCTTTAGCTCTCCTCAAAATTTCTTGATACCAAGTTTCGTCATCACGCAAACTATGTAATGTATCCCGTAAGTGAATTAATAAAAAGTCAATATTGTAGTTACGTCTTTTAATGATATTTCTGTCGTTTATATCATCATTTCGTTGATTGAATTGATCGAAACTCGATCTAAAGTTATTATTAATCCCTTCTTGCATCACCTGAGCTGTTTTTTTATGAATCTCTGAAAACATTGCCAAAGAGTTGTAAACTCTATCTCGAAGTTCTTTACTTAAACGCATTGATGAGAAGCAAATGTGTTCTAAAACAGCAACAAAAGTGCGTAAGTGTAATTCTAATACAACCTCAGTTTGCTTATCATAATAATCAAAAGGTGTCGGATCAGATAATTTAACTAATGAATCCCTAAGAATTAGAGGCGAAAATTGATTAAGCGGGTTTTCAAAAAGCAATTTTAGAGCATATAAAAATTTTGTTTCGGTTAACTTTGTTTAAAAGTTTTTTTGCTTTTTCATCCGGGGTAATAAATCCTTCCTCTTCTAATTTGTGAAGGACATGATTGTTGGAAATAATTTCATGCAATTTCGTTCCGGACGCAGCATTCGGTTTTTCGCTGGAACTACTTCCGATCTATTTTTTATATAATCGTATTGTAAAATTGAACAAAGAAACCTGATTCAATTATGCATAAATATGTATTTACCTGTTCATTTTTATAAAAGTGGGTAAATCCATTTTAATTAATTAAGCCATCTTTTTATAAATTAAAAAGTGTTACGAAACCGACCGAATTTGGATCTTTTGAAAGGCCGATATAAATAAAGTATCGATCGACTTTGTTTAGTTTCCGTACAACAAACAACAAGTTTACGCCAACCGACTTGACGTAAAAAATATTGGATACGTAATTAGGGTGTTACACAGACTAATTATTCAAATATATATCAGCTAACTATAAAAATCGTTACATAACAATAAAAATTAAGTTTGGATACCTTTCTATCATAAGTTGATTGAAGGATATTTTGATAGATCAATAGCAATTCATCATCATTCATCTGTGCAAGAATTAGTATTTTTTTTTTATTGGGAGTGGATCTTCGCATATTTACAGAAATTTGGTTTGCTTTGCAAACCTTCTGTATTCTGACTATTATAATGATGCTAATTAGTACACTTCAAAATGATTCACTTCATTATTGAAACGTCAATTTACCTTCAAATTTTCACGAATATATATAGTTTTTAAGAACAAAGTTACGTTAAGATATTTCGTTTTGTAAAAAAATTTCAAGAATTGACCTCAAGAATCTAAAATTTTTTGTAAATATTGACTTTTAAGAAGTAATATTCAACCCATTTTTAAAAATGAACGTAGTTACTTTGCAACGGTTCTTAAACATAGTTCTCAACCAAAAAATTGAAGAAAAATACGTTCAATATAGGTGGGAATCTTTTAGAAGTTTGAGTTTATTTTAATATTGAAATTACAAGCTATTACAAATGATATGAACATGTTCTGTTATAGTTTGAAAATTCGTAGTAAGTAATATCAAATTTGTAAAAAAAAAAAAAAAGTTGGTATTAACAATAGATATTTTTTAATTCAGCAAATAAATTATTTATTAAAAAAATATAATTTTTTTTTTTTTTGAAATGTAAGAAAACTGAAAAAATCCCAGTAAAGTGTAGAAGATAAAATGTGAAAAAAATGTGAACGATCAAATATCAAATTACGTGACTGGTGCGGGCAGAATTAAGAATCGGCAATTCACTAGAGTAATTTTCATCTATTCCTTACGATTTATTTGGGGTTCTGTTGTTTTACAAGGTACTTTATTTTCTTGCCAAAATATGTACAATTTAATTTTGTTAATGAATTGCGAAAATGACATTAACATTTCTTTCGAAGCTTATAACTTCGTTACGATTTATTATCTGTTTAAAAATTTCTCAAACAGAAGTGATGGTTGCGACTTAATAATTTCGACGATTTCGAAGGTACTGTACTTGATGTCAAATTGTATCGACAATGTAAAATTTATAATGCATTTTTAATAAATAAATAAATACATTTAGAATAACCAAACCATTATAATACAATACAAATACAATTGAGATTTATTTTTAACAAGTTAAGTTACTAGTTCATTTAGAAATAAATATCTTAATCCATCATATTCGACCTCTTTGAATAATTATGCTATTAATTTTAGAATTTTTATGCACTTCTCTTAATTCTAAATTTAGGACTAACCCAAGATTCATAATCCTTCTCGTTATTAATATCACCATACATCTTTAACGCTTTAATTCTAAATAAATATATTCCATCAGGAGCGAGTGTACCAGGTTCTGTTACATCACCAAGATTATTATAAATAAGTCCATCCCAATAAACAAATACTATTACTGGAACTTTTCGATATTTAATTCCAGTAAATTCTTTAACCCATCCTAACGGGTTTCTATTAACATCAAGTATTTCGGTGATAATGTTTTGTGTTGGAGTCGCAAGATTAAGATTTAAAAATGGATAATCATATAAGTTAAGAGTAATGTTAAAAGGTTTTAAGGAATATGTTTCAATCGGATCCTCTTCGGTAACAGCACCTTCAGTTGAATTAAGAAGTCTAGGAAATGATGGTGTTTGAAATATTGGAAGCGATCTTGCATCATCAGCTAACCCAGCTATATGAATAAAACGGTTGAGAAATTAACATTAGAATGTTCAAATGGTGGATTATATGCAAAAAATTAATTTACCATAAGGAACCGTCATCATAGGCATGTTCTCATCTATAGGAATTATTTCAATCCATCCACTATAAAACAAATGTCCATCCTTAGGTAGTTCCTTTGGCAAAGTAAAAGACACAGAGACCTCAACACTTGATCCAGGTGGTACAGCAATTTGATCATAATCAAATACAACTCTAGCATATTGTTCTTGGTTTGTAAAATATTCCAAGTTTAAATAATTTCTTTCAAATGTTTTATTATATCCATTAAAACTTTGAGCTGGCAAGTGTGATAATTTATATTTCATCTCTTTTCTTCCGCTATTGTAAACATTTAATTTTTGAAGCCCATTAAAATGAACAGAATCATTCAAATTAATTTTTGGAGGATAGACAAAGCTGGTGGCTTTCAACACTCCAAAAGCGTCAACGAGTCCTGCGCCTTGAATCAACACCGGAGCTAGTAAATTATTGTGATCTATATTAGGAACAGCGTAATTCATGAATGAAGTTTTCAGTTGTTCGATAGACTGTTGCTTTCCAAATATTTCAATATATAAGGCTGCTATGCCTGCCACATATGGTGATGAAAAACTTGTTCCAGATTCTATTGCATAAGGTGACAAATTCACTGGAAAGGTTGAAATCATCATTTGTCCGGGTGCGGAAATTTCAGGCTACAGAAATTTATTTTTTTTTTTTATGAAATATATATATAATATTATCATAAAAAATGATATATATGTTGCTTACCTTGATATTAAACTCTTCACTCAAACCCCAACTTGAAAATACTGAGGGAACTACGGAATATGGTTCAAATTCCATGTATCCATACTTATCAGAGAAATCTAATTCCAAGTCTTTGTTTGTTTTGAGATAATTAAGTAAACTATCGGCTTGTCTCGAATCAATGATTGCGTTATTTCCCAAGTCCAATACAATTCCTTCAAGGATATCAGGAAGAATTACTAATCGTCCGAGTGGATTAAGGTTTTCGTTGTCAAACTAAAAATAGATTAATATTAATAAAAGTAACATTATTTTATTTAATTATAAATAAAAATTAATAATAATAATACAACATAACTTTGAACACTTACATAATCTAGTATATCGGAACATGGTATATCACCTCTAAAATCTATGATAACTACTGCATTATTAAATTCTTTGTAATCATTTAAACATTTATCCATTGGAAGCAATTTAACTTTAGCTCTTTGGACAGTAAATGCCATTGCACCTTTTGTAATATAGTCTATATAATTAGCAAAGATATTGATTTCAGTACGTTTTTTTTTTATGCTTTTTTTTTTAGATGGAATTTTTTTTGCAAATTAAAATAGATATAAATATATACTTACTAATAACAAAGTTTGGATTTTTTGGGTCAAAAGCTTTAAAATTAACGACTTTATCTGTTCTGAATGAAGCAACACTAATAGTATTTTGAATATTCGATGGCGTCATGCTAGTAAATACGCCAGATTCCCCTCTATTCCCTGCTGCCACTATGAATATTATTCCTCTATGTACAGACAACTCATTGATCATATTTGCAAGAGGGCTTCTATTATCACCCTCATATCCCTTTTAAAATTTAATAGTTAATATATTTTTTTAATTTTTATATTTATTTTACTATTAACAAAGGGTTTACTTACTATAGACATATTTATGATATCCATTCCATCATCGACAGCCTTGGTAATAGCTTTCATAATTAAGGTTTCTATAATGTCGATAATTTTTTGTCCATTTATAATTACGCCTTCATCATTGACTTCCTCATCATTTGTTGGACAATCAAAAGGAGTTACTTTATATGCTCCAAAAATTACATCAGGTGCTACGCCTACAAATCCAGGTCCGTCATCTCTTAGATCATTACCTCCAATAATTCCAGCTACAAAAGTTCCATGTCCATCACAATTATCATACGGATCGTTCGTATCATTGAGAAAATCATAGCCAAATGCTACTCTACATCCTGGTCCAAAACATCCCCCAAGAGCAGGATGTGTATAATCAATGCCTGATTTTAAATAAAAATAAAAATGGTCAAAGTTTTCGTAATTAGTTCATAATAGTTAAATAAATGATAATTTAAAATACCTGTATCAAGGATTCCGACTCTGACACCTTTTCCTGAGAGTTTTAATATTTCGTGAACCTTCTTGACACCGGTAATTTCATGAATAGCATTAATATCATTATTAGGAGCAATTAAAACTGTTCCATTAAGATGATATTCGGCATCCTTATTCGAATTTTTTTTATTAATTTCGATTGGCTTAATTGGATTATATCGTTTATAAATTTTCTAAAAATAAAGTTTTAACCGATTTTAGTTACCTCGTATCGTGCAATTCATTTCCGATATAGACACGAATTCCATACTTACCACGGGTACAATACTTTCAATGTGCTCGATTTCAGCGATTCTCTTTACATTACGTTCATCAGTTTCGATGCTAATTACGTTTGCATATCGTTTGAATGATTCTTTAATTTTGACATCGATTCCACGTTTATTTATCTCTTTATGAAAATTTGCATGTTGGGATTCAATATGTTCGGCAGATGAAGTGAAAGGTGAAGAAGTAAATCTAACATGAAATGCATTTGCGAGAACATTATGTGAAGATTGCTTGACCGCAAAGGTCCAATTGAAAAGTAATAAAACAAATGTCAGATGAATAATCGAAAGTTTATATATTTTGATTTTCATGGTTATTGTATTAATTTTTTTTTTAAAAAAAAAATAATAATAATAATAAATAAAGAAATTATCTATTTTTTCACGTCCTTTTAATACCTATTTTTTTTTTTTTTCGCGACACGAAAATCATTGATCATTTTTTTTTTATTTATTTGTTCTACAAATTCTTTATTTTTATTTTTATTCTTAATTGTTCTTCAATTCTCTTCATTCAACAAGCAATATCAGTAGGACAGAATCTATTTTTATTATCAAAATTTGGAAATAATCTTTATAAATTTCATTTTAATTTTCTTTTTTACCTGAAATTTTAAGATCCGTATCATAGATTATATTGGTTACACAATATTACACCAAAAAGTTTTATCAAATTCCCTAATTAAAAAAAAAAAAATAAATGCCCGCCCAAAAATAAATCATAAATCTATTTTTAATTTTAGCACAACGTTAAGTGGCGTTCACGTGTACATGTGAATGGATTTCACAAAAAAAAAAATTCCCCTGGTCTTGTGAAATTTTTGTAGATCAAATTTACTGTAAATCTTTGTAGCCAAGATTTTAAAAAATCGTTTTCTCAAAAACTTTTTAAAAACTTGCTGCGATAATAATTGCGCCTTTCATTTTTCATAATCATCCAGGTGAGCCGGATTTCATAAAGTGAGATATCATAATTCACCGAGGTCTTAAAAATCAAAACTTTAATTTTATCTCTGGTGTAATAAATAAAGGTGGTGCAATGTCACATATCTTCAAGTTTATACATATTAAGTAAACTTTTGTTCTTTGTATTGATAAATGTATTTCAGATTAACTTGAGATCGAATTGATAATTACCAGCAGCGCATATGCAGAGATGTGCATTTTATGCTTCCAATAGTATAAAATTTGATTGGAAGCTTCCAATCCAAATGAATTTATTAGAGAATTATGCTTCCAACCCTTCCAAAGTACTCCCAAGGGTGCTTCCAATCTTCCAAGTGCATATGTAGATCAGTATTAAAAATCTGCCCGAATTTTAAAGCCTGGCCCGGACTTAAAGCAAAAATTAAAAAACCACATTGTACAAAAAAATTATTGATGTGCACTGTGTAAATACAAAATACTATCTATTGTTGCTCGTGTTTCAATAATTTCATTAAAATACAGCCAAACTGCTTTTTTTTTTCTTTGCATTTTATTTCCTTTTTGTTTTTATTTAAAAAAAATATTTCAAAAATGTAACGCGAATATTTTTAATTAAATTATAATTTTGCCAACTCCGTATTGCTACTTTAAAAAATTAAAAGGTTTAAAAAAGATCGACGATTCACGTGACTCGTAAATAAAAGTTTGAATTATTTTGTCGCACATGCAATAAATGGTAAAAATTTTTGAATCATCGTCGCTCGATACAATTCAAAAAATAGTAAATGGGTTTTGTTATTAAAATCATATTTCAGATAAGATGAATATTATGCCGCGTGACTTGCATATATACCTTTATTTAACAATGTTAATGTTGTACATGATTACAATATCGTTGCAGGAATATTGTTAGAAACTAAAACTGTTCATGAAAGAATTACGCCAATATTAACTTTCTTAATTTACGTAAATAAGGTTCTAATATGGGTTAATTATCAATTGATGATCTAAAAAAGATATGAGCGTTGGATATAAATTTAAGGATGTATACAATGTTGATTCTTCACACGTACTTCCCTAAAAATTAAAAAGTAATGGTGATTCCCAAATCGAAACTATCATGAAGAATTTTATCTTGGTATTCGTTCTCATCATTTTGGTATTTAGCAACTTGGCTTCATCTTTATCAAGACAGGGTTGCATCTCCGGCAACAACGAGGGTTGATTGTTGTTATTTTGCTTCCGCAAGCGGTTCAGACAACCCATGCGACGAAATCTGTATAAACGGTTCCACAGAGCAGGTCTGCAATGATGATTTAGTGTGCTGTTCTACCGAGATTTGTTGCGGAGACTTTTGCTGCCCTGAAGCTTCCAAATGCGATTCCGGAATTTGTTCATTGGAAACATTGGAATAAAGTGACATTTAATTCGATGTCCTAAAGTTATTTAAATTTAAATATTTATATTTATATAACAAACTCTAAAAAATCCATTGGTTTCTACTGGTCAAGAAGGTTTACTTTCCTCAGGAAATCTTTTTGAAATATATTAAGATAAACCGTGAATATAAAATATATTAGTAAATTTATTTTTTAGGATACAAAATATTCATATGTAAATTTATAAATTGCAATTTGTTTTATTTTTAAGTGAAATAAAGTGGCTTCTTTTTTTTTATTTTGCATAATTAGATTGAAAATTAATTTTTTTTATTCCTTAATTTAAAGCAATAAATAAAGAACAGTTTTATAAAAGACACGAAACAAATATTCATTTTTTTGTTGTTTATTCGTTTCGATACAAAAACGAGCTTTTTAAAACGCAAACCAAAAAAAATGGTCAAAATAGTGCGCTTTTATCACTAGCCGATCCATTTTAAATATTTAAAATTTTAATATTTTTATACCTTGTGATTTATTTTTATGATTTTTATCTTTTACTACAATGGACATATAATGAGGAAAATAAATAACATCATTGAGTTGTAAATAGGGATACAAATTAATGATTCATTGGTCGTTGCTTTATTAAAAGCTATCTCAGTTAATCGTCGAAAATTTAAAGAACCTTGATGGATAGAACAAGGAACAAATAATTTTTCAGGTGGCGTTTACAAAATTCAAATAATAATCATAAATAAAAAGTCATTTTTTTTATTTTAATATTGATTTAATACATTTTAATTATATCGATCTTTTATTTATTTAACTCGAAAAATTCTAATAAAATTTATCCGGCCAATCAAATTATTGAATATTTATCACGTGAATAGAATATTAACGTTAACCAATATAATTGACAAAATTAATTAACCAATTAAATAATTAGATTTTTTGATCACATGTTAACATCAACATAGCCAATCGTTAGGACTTTCATCTATGCTTTTCTTCATAAAATTAAAATGCTTCATCTTTTTCCCCAAAACAGTTTTTTTATAAAAATTAAAATTAGCTCTTACCCAAATATATGGATGTTTGCTATTAAAATCACGTTATGGATCATATGATTTACTAGCAAACCTTCCATATGGTAACGCTAGAAATGCATGATTTTATTTTTAATTTACTTAATATTTATGTTTATAAAATAAATTTGTAGGAAAATAAGGAATACAAAAACAAATATTAAAAGAACGAAGTGAACTTTTTTAACGAAAGGTTAGGTTTTTTAACTCCTTGATATTTGTTTCATTGTAAGGTGAACGAACAGTAATATGCGGGTATTGTATTGCTGACTGTCTCATAAATAGGATAAAGATTCATATTACAATACTTGCAAAAACTGAGAAACACCTGTCTTAGCAAATACTAAATTAGCAAATAACCCTATTATGTACTTCAAGGTTTAAGACGGACGGTTCCATTATAACGATTATTACTCCTTTCGATCTACCTCGAAAAAAATATCAAAAACTATAATGATATACAAAATTTGAAAGTAAACATCGTTGATTTCAGAATGAATAATCAAAGCATAAGCTCGTTACCACCGAAATGCTTATCAAAATCTAAAATATTATTTTATTGTATATCAAGGATTTCGTGCTTAGTATCTAAAAATAAATAGCGAATAATAAATAGATCAAGTCAATTTTTCGCAAATATTGTTGACTCATAACCAGAATGGAAAACCACTACAAAAAACGACAAAATACCTTGTCAAGATCGTGTTCAAACTTCAGCAAAAGTGAAATTTAAGATAATTTCTGGTACGTGAAGAAAGGGAAAAAAAATCCACTTCTATTGTGTAACTGTGGATACTGTTGTGCCGATCATTTAATTTTTTGGCGGGAAAAAATCTCCGAAAATAAGCTTGGTTACTTTATAGTTAAATTTCTCTTCCAAATGTTAATTCATGAAAGAAAATTACATTGAAATATATTTATACATAATGAAGGTTTTTAACGATCATCTATTATAGCTTATACTGTATATGGGCTAGCAATCAGCTTAACAGTGGTGTTAATATATAGAAAAAAAAAATAAATATTTACTCTGCGCCTGATACCGAAAAATCCGCCTACATTTACTTTATTAGTTATTAAATTTATTTATTTTTTTTATAAACAAAAGACTAAACTTTTCGAAGATAATTTTGAATTTTTGACAGATTTCGATGTCTGAAATTGATTTCAATTTAATAAAATTTGCAAAATTTAACAAGTTAACTTGTTATTATTTAATTATTTTTTTAAATATATTTTTTAGTTAGTTAGACGGGATGGATCGCCTCTTGCCACATAAGTATTATTTTAATTTTAGCTTATTAATAGATTTTTTTTTTGGTAATTTCTTTCAGTTTGGGTCGAAAGCTAAATTTTTTTCTTATTGGATTGCTTTGGGCACAGTGACCGAATGATTCCTTTTTTTTCTTCAAATTTTTGCGCTCTTTTATGTTCTTCTTTCGAGTTGATTCGCTTCCAAAAGTTTTGGACAGCGGGGCGTGGTAGCAGTGGAGATTTGATATGCCTTATGCCTTCCTAGTTTAATTATACTTTAAACTTAATTTTTTATTTATAGATCGTAAGATATTTTTTATTAATTACTAGTATTTAATCGTACTTTTTAATATCATTTAATCTTAAAAAAATTAAATTTGTTAAGATAAAATATTTAATAAATTAAGTTTATTAAAATTTCGTATTGCGTAACAGAAGTAATGATCAATTTAATTGTTCAATTAAAAAAAAATCTTTCTTTTGAAAAATGTACCTTTTAAAGAGATTCACAAACTACAAAATTAAGTATTAGGGTTCCAATGTCCGATAAACAATCGTTTAAATTCAAATAGCGGTAAGCCGCAGCACAAAAATAGAACTACCGCCATTTTTTTCGCCTGGGACTGTATCATCAACTTCCGTATGATACAACAATCCAAATTCATTTTTTGAATCGATATTTTGTTTTGAGCGTCAGGTTGACCGTCTAAAGCATTATCGCGTGGTATAGGATTAATAAGTTCATGACTAAATACTTAAATAATATATGCGAATTTATTTTTATTGCAAAAATTTTCGACGGTGTGGCTTCAATGTTGAGAATTAGGAACATAGCCAACTAATTTTTCACCCACGAGTCTTAGTAATATTTAGCTCAATTTAGTAATTTCTATTTGTACATGAACTTTAATTAAAAAAAAAAAGACTTGTAAATGTAAAACAACAAATAAAAGCAGAATTGATGAAATAAAGCTGATTGTATTCATCTTATTATATAAGTTTGAATTGACTTTTCGGTTTGTGTTCGAAATTAAAATCTATATTGATGGTTTGAAAGGTAGAGACACTTATTGTATTAACACAATTTACCTACATCATTTATTTTTATAAATTTCAATGACGATTTTGTTAAATCATGTGATCATTAATTTGTTTATAACATAAAGATATCGAGAATTTTTTTATTTACCCGATTCAAATTTTACTCCCAATATACGAGTTTCGACTGAATTTACTAAACAGAGCCTGCCTTTTTTGTCGCGCTTCTGAAGAAATCAGTGATTGGCAAGTTAGAGCCACCGCCAAAGTAGAAATTGGCTGCGCCTTTACATTTTTGGTCGACATACTGTATGACAATGCATAAACAATAAAGAACGACAATAAAAATTTAATTGAAAACATTTTTTCTTTTAAATTTACTAAAATGTTCAACAGCAACGATAAAAGTGTAATAAAAAGTATTAAGAATATATTTTACCAAAGCAAACGAAGGTAATAAAAAAAGTTGATTCAGTTAAAGACGGACTTGAGACGATATTCTAAATATTTTTCTTGTTGCAATACAATAGAGCCAGTTTCGGATGCTCCTGATGCTCCTATATTAGAAGAATTAAATGGTAATTTACATTCATCTATTTAATAAGTCAAACTATAATTCCTTAATAATTAAAATTTTTTTTTTTAAAATAAAAAAAATTCGATGGTTGTTAATATGTTATATAGAATGTAAGTCATTTAATTTTCCTTTCGATATATTTTATAACATATTAAAATTTAACTAAGCTTTTATTTAATTATCTAATGATTAATAAAATTAGGGAGTCAGTTATTGTAATTCTTTATATTGTAATTTAAATTTAACTAATTTATTTTAAAAAAATTTTTAAATGGTTAGTCGGTAAGTTATTTTTATTAGTTGTCTATATTTAATTATAGTTTATTTAATAATTTAATCTCAACTTAATTTTTATTTAAAATTTTTATAGAACGTAAGTTATGTTTTGCTTTTAATTTAATTAACTATAATTACTAATTTATATAACAATATTAAAGAAAGTAAGTTACATATAATAAGTTTGACGAATTTTATTGAATCAAATTAATTAATTTGTATAACTCAAACTCAATTAGATCGTATGTTATTTTTATTACTAATCAGCACTTTTTACTGTAATATAAGCTCAACTAAATATTTTATTCATAAATATATTAACTAATCTAGATCGTAAGTTATTTATTGAATTGATTATTAGTATTTAATATACTTTTTATGTACTTTAAACTTTTTATTAAAAAATAATTTATTAGGGGGTAAATTATTTTTATTGATTATCGGTATTGACGTTAATTATATATTTTACTGTAATTTAAACTCAACTAAATTTTTTATTTAAAAAAAAAATTTAATAAATAATATAATAATAGATGGTAAGATATTTTTATTGATTATCCAGTATTAATTATAAAAAATTTAAACTCAACTAAATGTTTGATTTAAAAAAAAATTATTTAATAATAATATAATAGTTGGTATGTTATTTTTATTGATTCAATATTTAATTATATTTTTTACTTAATTAAATTTAACTAAATTTTTAGTAAATAATATTACAATAGATTGTAAGTTATCTTTATTTATTATCAGTATTTATCTAATTAAAATCAAATTAAAATTTAATAAAATATAGTTGGTAAGTGATTATCAATATAAATTTATAAT